TAGAATATCTTTTGGTTTATTTAAATAATTTGGTATTTATTTATTTTATACAAAATGCAATGGGTCCATCGTGGGCGTATCAAAGGGTCCATCATGAGCGCATATATGCCCATAATGGACCCTTAACAGGATTTTAGTAAACTATGAGTAACTTTTGTCATCTTATTTTATTAAAATTTGAAACATTTGCATATTATACAAATAAAAAGACGTTATGTGGTCATATTTAAAGCCTGCTAAGTAAATAATTAAAATTATTATGGAGCTTTTTCCTTAAGGGGTTCATCATAGGCATATTTCCTCTTAGTGTGATAAGTTCTTTTGACACACCCAGTATATATAATACCCAATTAAACAGCTTAAAACAGAAAAGACTGGCTTTATTCTTTTTAATTCTCGAAAGATCTATGTCCAAAAGAGATTGAAGATTAAATAAAGATGATTATGATGCTATTATGTTAATTAATTTTGTTGAATATGATGTGTTATATGTCTGGAAAATACAGCATTCATAATTCAAATTTATATATTGCTAGTCATAAATAATACATTTATTAATTAAAAATATATTTCGCTATCATATCAATCTACTATCGTTATGAATTGGGCAAATAAAAAATAAACTTTGAAATAGAACACAATATACGTGTTGATTTCATATGGACACGTCCAAAATTCATATATTCTAGTAAAGCCCACCATGAAATTTAACTTCATGAAAATTCGGAACGTATATAGCAACGTACAAAGTTAATTAGTCTGCCTACATCGCATCTAATCGTAAGTCTCCTCATACCCTGATAATTTTTTCAAACATTTTTTTGCTGCTAAAACACAACACACTGTTGTTTATAACTAGACATCGGATTATCTGCTCTAAAAAATGGTAAAATATTTATACACTATACGTTCTAAAAATGTGCACGATAAATGCATAAACAAAATGTCATTTTGTATTTCCCTTTTGGTTCTTTTTAATTATTTAAATATTTTGATTTATTTCAATAAAATTATAGAGAAAAATATAAATTTAATAAATAAAAAAATAATGTACTTATAAACTTTGACTTATGATAAATTATCATAAAGAATATAGAAGGTGTACTAGAAAAACCTAGCCTTAAAATACTTAAAGATCCAATAGTACAGGTAGAAATAGAGAAAACATTCAATGATACACTCAAAAAAAAGTTCAGTGAAGCACCCGCGAAAGCAAAAACAAACAATAGAAAGTATTTGGCACACGTTCAAAACAACAATCACAAATATACAAAGAGAAAAACTACAAGACATTTTCAGAAAAAAAAAGAATACATGGATGGCAGAAGAAGTCCTAGAACTGATGGACATAAGGAGATCTTAAAAAAATCGCAATAAAAAAAAATATAAGAAAACCCAGAGAATCATCCGAAACAAAATTAGAAAAGCCAAAGAAGAAAGGATAAGCAGCAAGTGTGAGAAACTGGGAGATTTACTAAAAAAGCATACTTACTTACTCCGTGGCGTTACAACCCTTCGTGGGTTTTAGCCGACTCGACAACATGCCTCCACTGTTTTCTGTCTTGAGCAACCTCCATCCAATTCTCCACGCCCATAGTGCTTAGGTCTCCTGCTATATTATCTCGCCACCGGAGACGAGGGCGTCCGCGTGGTCTCGTTCCAGTTGGGACTTCCTTCCACACCAGTCTTACTGTTCGTTCGTCAGAATGTCTTCTGAGGTGTCCTGCCCATTGGAGTCTTCTGGACTTTATTTCTTTTATGATGTTGGCGTCTGGGTAAAGTTCTTCAAGCTCTTTATTAGTTCTTATCCTATATTGTCCTGATGTTTCATCAAGCACCGGACCAAAGATCTTCCTTAGGATTTTTCTTTCCCAAACACGTAGTCTCTCTTCATTTGCCTTTGTCATCGTCCACGTTTCGCTTCCATACATCACAACGGGTCGTATGATTGTTTTATAGACCTGTATCTTCGTACGTCGTGTTAGTTGTTTTGATTTTATAAGGTTTTGGAGGGCAAAAATACATCTGTTGCCGGCCTGAATCCTGTTGTTTATTTCTTGTGATCCGTTATTGTCTTCAGTTATTGTTGTTCCAAGATACTTGAATTCCCTAACGCGCTCAAAGTTAAAGTCATCGATGGTAATGTTCTGACCGATTCTGTCTCTGCTTTGGTTATTGCGGCTCATATACATATATTTCGTCTTGTTTTCGTTGATTTGGAGCCCCATCTTCTCTGCTTCCTTCTCAAACCTTACGAAAGTCTCCTTCATCCTTAATCGCGTGTTTCCTATTAGATCTATATCGTCTGCAAATGCCAGTAGTAAGTTTGGTCCTTCTCGATGAAATACTGTATTCGGTTTTTCGATTCTTGCACTTCTGATTATGTGCTCCAGAGCTAAGTTGAAATGTTGTGGTGAAAGTGCATCTCCCTGTTTTAGTCCATTGTTTATTTCAAATGTCTCCGAGTATTGTTGTCCAACTCTCACCTTACATCGTAACCGTTCCATACACATCCGTATCAACCGGACTAGTTTTTTTGGAAAGCCAAGTTCCTGCATCGCTGTCCACAGTCTGTCCCTACATACTCTATCAAATGCTTGTTTAAAATCTATGAACATCTGATGAAGCTTACGATCAAACTCCCAGCATTTTTCCATTATCTGTTTTATTGTGAATATCTGGTCAATTGTAGAGCGGCCCGGTCTAAATCCGCATTGATAATCTCCAACAATTTCTTCTGTGTATGTTTTGGTTCTTTCTAGCAGGATGTTTGCAAGGATTTTGTAGGTGGTGTTTAGGAGTGTTATTCCCCTGTAGTTAATACATTGCTTTTTGTTTCCTTTTTGTGTATTGGTACAATAACCCCTTCTTTCCATTCATCTGGCATTGTTTCGTCTTGCCAAATGTCTTGAATTAGCTTGTATATCGAACTGTACAATGCTTCTCCTCCATGTTTTAAGCACTCTGCGGGTATACCATCGCTACCTGGTGTCTTATTATTTTTGAGTTTTTTAATTGCCTGTATTACTTCTTCGTATGTCGGGTATTGGTCTTCTATTTCAGCTGTATGTACCTCTATGTTTGATGTACTTCTGCTAGATTGGTCATTCAATAGTTGATAGAAGTATTCCTTCCAGGTTTTTAAGATTTCCTTGTCATCAGTGATAAGCTGTTCACTGTCGTTTTGAAGAAAGTTTCCTGTTCTTGCTTGGTACCCGGTCTTGATATCTGAAACTCCTTTAAAGAACTGCCTCGCTTGTTTGTTCTTTCTTTTTTCTTCTATTTCTCTGATTATTTGTTCCTGATACTCTCTCTTCTTCCTTTTCATTAGTTTTCTTGTCTCTGTTCTTCTTTGTCTATACATTTCATTGTTGTTGTGCGAGGGGCTTTGTAGCATGTTCCTTCTAGCCATATTTCTTGCTAATATGGAGTTCAGGCAATCATCATCGAACCATTTTTTTGTTGTTTTCTTTTTGTGTCCTAGTATTTCATCTGATACGCTTGTCAGAGCTACTTTGATATTTTTCCAAGCTGAGTCTATGTTGTTATAGTTTTCTGTCTGTGCTAGAGCGATTTTTATAGCCTTTTGAAATTTCTGTTCTGTCTCCTTATTACGTAGAACTAAAAAAGCATGACTACTTAAATGTATACAAAATAATTAAGGAAGTCACAAAAATGAAAAAAATCACTACAACAACTGAGTAAAACACACAGAACTCATCGAAACCTTAACACAACATGGTATAGATCATAACACTGTAGCACTTATTAAAAAAATATATTGAGATCAAATGGCGTCTATCAAAATAGACAATCATATAACAGCAGAATTGCTAATAAAAAGAGGAGTTCGTCAGGGATGTGTACTTTCTCCACTATTATTTAATATATATTCCGAAAAGATCTTTTAAAATGCCCTTGAAAATATCGAAGAAGTAATAAAAATAAACGGAGAATACGTAAACAACTTGAGATGCGCAGATGACGCCATCAATATTGCGGACAGTGCTGAGGGTTTACAACGACTTTTGAATGTCATAACCAGAGAGGGAGATAGCTTGGGACTAAATATAAACACAAATAAAACAAAAGTGATGGCTGTTGCACGTGCACCAAATGTCGACATTAATATTCGTATCTATAACAAACACATAGAACCAGTACAAAGATTCCAGTATCTTGGTTGCTGGATAACAAACGATCTTGACCACGAGGTCGAAATACGTGCTCGTATAGAATATGCAAGGTCCTCATTTTAACGAATGAAAAAATTCCTAATAAACTCTACGTTAGAGTTGGATATTGTAAAAACGTTTATTTATTCCATATTGCTATACGGAGTGCAAACATAGACTCTCGGAATTACAAGTATGAGGCGTATAGAAGCCTTTGAGATGTGGGTTTTTCGAAGGTTGCTGAAGATCTCTTGGACAGAGCACGTGACCAACAACGAGGTGCTAAGAAGAATGGGGACTGAGAAAGAACTCCTAAATATTGTAAAAAACAGAAAAACGAGTTATCTAAGACATATTTACAGAGGAGAAAAATACAACTGCTTACGACTTATAATAGAAGGGAAAGTGGAAGGAAGAAGATGAAGGTCCAGGAAGAAGAAAATGCTCGTGGTTGAAGAATGTAAGAGACTGGACAGGTATGTACACACATTCGATACTAAGAACAGCTCAAGATAGAGAACAATTTGGTGGCAAATTTGGTGGAAAAAAACAAAAATAAGGGGACTAAATAATCAAAGATATAAAAGAAACACATGTTTCAGAAGCCTCGAAAGTAATAAAGCAACTCAGCAAAAATACAAAATTGATTTGAAATATGGTTCAATTGGATCACCACGGATCAATGAATTGTATAGCAGAATGTTATTATAGGGGTGTGCAAGTCCAATCAATCTGGATTCATTGATATTGCTTGCTTGCTTAAACAGAAAGTATTTATTTTATATGTTCCTTAATCTTAAATTAAATATAAATCAATTATTTCAGATTTATTGGTTGGACTGATAAGTGTTTTGACTGACTTGATATGGAGGACAACAGTAAGCTGGTATGCTGGAAATGCCGCCTGTAAGATTATAAAATTTCTTCAAGTAAGTAAACTAAAATACTATAATTACCTTATATACATACATGTCCAAAAGTTTGGCATACGTACAAATCTTATATACTAAAACGCTAAGCCTTTTTCTTGTCCACCACTATACTCAGAAACCATATTAGATACTTAAAATATTTTTTCGGAATATTATTAGTATTACGTATGTGATTGTCAAGATTTACTTTTGGTACAAAAATTCACTTCTGGTTTTGAGATGACCGGAAGTTAAAATTTACTTTAAGTTTTAGACCCCACAATGTATATATGGATCGAAAGGTCTCGTCGAGACGAATCTAAATATGCACTTCCGGTTGCGATCCGACGCCGGATTTAACATTGTAACAAAAATCATTGTTTTCGACGAAATATTTCGTGATATTTAATACACTTTTTACTTGCATTATTATTAATGAATGTTACGTATATTCTTTCTTATATTGTTTGTATTGATCTCTTAATTTTTCTCGCAAAATAAAAATTTCATTTAAAAAACTCGATGTCGAGTTGGTCCGCTAGTAATATATATATATATATATATATATATATATATATATATATATATATATATATATATATATATATATATATATATATATATATATATATATATATATATATATATATATATATATATATACGCCTATGGTGGTTTTAAAACTGTTGTTGATAGTCATTCTAGAGTGTTTTTAAATAAAAATGATAAAAAATTTGAATCGTTTTTGTATGATTTTGGTCACATTCAAGTGATTAGCGTATTTACACATTATTTCAGTCTTTATTTCAATTTGAATTGAACCATTTAAAAATGCCTAGAAATGTGATATCTCATTTTAACAGACCTAGAGTAATAGCTTTGTTACAACAGGGCTTTAGTTAAACTTATATCGCGAATATTGTTTATGTTAACAGGTAGACAGGTACAACAGCAGCACAAGACCGGTAAATAACATTGATAGCTCGTAGAAATCGTCTGAAATCTACAAATGGTATAACCAGAAAAATTTCTAGGCTTCAAGGACTGAATATTTCACGGCAAACAATAACACGCAGAATAAATGTGGTGAATTTGTATTGTAGAAGACTGCTACGTGTTCCTAAATTAATCTAACAACACAAAATAGTAAGGTTGCAATGGGCTCGAGAAATGGTGCACCAGAGAACGTGATGTTCTCTGGTTAGTCAAAAATTATCTTGATATCTGATTCGCGAAGAACACTAGTTTAAAGAGCCCCAGAACGACAAGCCCGTCTAGAAACAGCCCAACCGCGTGTCCCATTTGAAGGTGGCAGTATTATGGTTTAGGGTGGTATCATGAGTGGTACAAGGACGCCACTGCTGGTTCTGGAGAGAAGAGTTACTGGTGCTGTGTACATCGAAGAAGTTTTAAATCGTGTCGTACGTCTATTTCGAAGGGCAGTAGGTGATGGATTTGTGTTTATACATTTATACATAATTTTCTGGAAGAAGAAGGAATATCTACATTACAGTGGCCCTCGAATTCCCCCGACATAAACGTTATTGAACATGCTTGGGACATTCTTAAAACACGCATCAAGAAGCGAAACAATTGTCTTATTACACTTCGAGAACTAAAAGGTGCTGCTCGTGAAGTATGGGAGAGAATTCCGCAAGCTCAGCTTAACCAGTTAATCGGCAGCATGCCAAATCGCTTACAGGCATGCATACAGGCCAATGGACAAAATACTAATTATTAGTTTTATTAAAAATTATTTTTTTCTATACTAATTTATTTTTAAATGTACGTTTTTCACTCCAAGAGAATAAATAATTTTTTTGCATATCGTTTATTTGGTTTTGAGATTTATTTAATATTGTTGAGAATTAAAACAAAATAATGTTTAACTATTCAGAAGAGCTTATATATAAAAATCAATAAAAAGATGAAATATTCCAAAATTCCAAACTTTTGGACATATGTGTACTAGTTAAATACTCTGACTGTATAGGCAAAAGTTAAGATAATCATATTTTAAATATAAAGCGTCTTCTTCTTCTTAAAAGTCCATCTAATATCGGAGGTTGGATATCATAACGTCTATAGTCACTTTGTTGGCTGCTGCTCTGAAAAGTTCTAGTGAACTACAGTTAAACCATTCTCTAAGGTTGCTCAGCCAGGAGATGCGTCTTCTTTCTAAGCTTCTTCTTCCTTGGATCCTTCCTTGCATAATAATTCTCAGCAGCTCATATTTTTCTTCTATAGTTATGTGTCCCAAATACTCTAGTTTTCTTCTTTTTATGCTGTTCGTTATTTCTAACTCCTTATTTAGACGTCGTAGTACCTCACCATTGGTAATCTTTTGAACCCACTGAATTTTTAATATTCTTCTGTAACACCACATTTCGCAAACTTCTATTTTTTTTATGTGTTGTTTCTTCAATGTCCAAGCCAATATAAAGCGTAAATACAACTAAATGGTGTAATTAATTATCTAAGAATGATTTAGAGCATATATCTAAAAAATATCACGGGAAAACTGAGAATACAGTCTAACCCGTTTTTGGAATATCCTTCGTGCCAAGAAAAAATATTCCTATAATCGGTATATATAGTATATTTATATATATATATATATATATATATATATATATATATATATATATATATATATATATATATATATATATATAAAATGGCCAAATATATTTTGTGTAAATAAATTTAATAAATGTGTAAAACATTAAATATTTTAGTAAAAGGTGCTATTGCTTTGTTGAATTAAATGGCCAAATATATAGCTTAGGAGCAAATTCGTGTATGAATTGGTATCTGTAGACTGTTATAACGTTATTTCTATATGCCTTACGTCTTCAAAGAGTCGGGAAGATGAAGGTCAAACACGAGAACACAGCGAATGTGTCCTGCTATTTTCACTATTCTAGTGTAATGCTACAAAAAGCGGCTTTTCTACGATTCAGAGTTTTATTATTACCTGAGTGAACATTTCTTCGACTTAAGAAGAAAACTTCGAAGACGGTTCCAAAAGCTAGTGTTTAATAAATACGAAGCTGTGTGGCTACGACATTATTCAGGCCTATAAGAAGGTATGAGAACCGGATTTGTGACTGTTGGTTATTCTTTTGTCGAGATGAAGATAACTTGTCACCTCGCGAAAGAAACTATCAGCTCTGTTAGATGCTAAGTATGCTAAACATTATCTTATCTGCAGCAGCGCGATAAAGCTGCACAGATGTTGTATTGAACCAGATTCTGAGGTTCTTTAACCAAGATGTTCTTCTTCTTTATGGACCTCGCTTTCCAAATATTTTCCTTGCAGGATGGCTTGAAGGAGAGCATATCTGGATTCATTTCGCATAATATGTCCGAAGAATTGTAACTTTCGAGATTTAATTGTGGTCAGTACCGCTCGGTTCTTATTCATTCTTCTAAGGACCTCCTCATTTGTGACTCGGTCAGTCCAGGGGATCTTGAGTATTCTGCTATATAGCCACATCTCAAATGCTTTCAGTTTTTTGCACATATCTACGTTCAAGGTCCACGATTTAATACCATATAAAAGGACAGAGAAGACGTAGCATTGCAGCGTTCTTACTTTTGTATCAAGAGAGAGGTTGTGACTCTTGAAGAAGGCCTCCATCCGATTGAAGGTGGATTTAGCTTTTTCGATGCGTACTTTAATCTCCTGGTTGTTGGTCCATTTTTCATTTATTATGGTGCTGAGGTAGTTGTAGTGCATCACTCTTTCTATAGGAGATTGGTTGACGTAGAGTAGACCTTCTGTTATTCTTTTCTTGCTAATTACTATAAGCTTTGTCTTCTTAACGTTTATATTGAGTCCATATTGTTGACTGTAATACGTGATTTTGTTCATAAGAACTTGTAAGTCTTTTAAGTTGTCCGCAAATACTATGGTGTCATCTGCATATATGATGTTGTTAAGCCGGTAACCATTTAGTAGAATACCTTTTTCGGTTTCGTGCAAAGCCTCGATAAATATTCTTTCAGAATACAGATTAAAGATTAGAGGAGACAAAATACAGCCTTGCCTCACTTCACGCATGATTTTCACATAGTCAGTATGTTCATCTTTAACTCTGAAATTTGCTGTCTGATTCCAGTAAAGATTTCTAATTATTTTAAGACTTTGGTTATTAATTCCTGCTTCTTTTAGTATTTGCATCATCTTGGCGTGCTGTACTCGATCAAACGCTTTCTCATAATCAACCAGACATGCTTATACTTCGCAGTTGAAATCTCTGCATCTCTGGAATAAGATGTACTAAGAACAAAGCCTCTCTAGTACCAATAGCATTTGTGAACCCGAACTAGTTGGGGGAAATTTGACTTTTACAGAGCTTGTAGATTCTCTTATGAATTATTTTAAAGAACAATTTTAGGAGATGCCTCATGAGGCTTATACTACGGTAATGTTCACATTTTTTGGCTCCTGGTTTTTTTGGAAGGGCAATAAACTCAGATTTCAGCCATTCTGTTGGTATTTCTCCAGAGTGATTATGCGATTATTGCTATTGATTCGTTGTTCATTATTTTGCCTGTCTAAATAGGCATCGATATTTGAGATAGGAATATTGTGCCGAACTGGCACAGTGTTCCACTGGACCACCACCTGTTAGGAGTGAATAAAAGTCCCAGGTGGGCTTTGAATCGCTCCTTACTCTTGGTGGCCCAGCTGAAGTCACGCTTCACTGTTAGAATCCTTCTCGATGGAAACAATCAACGTCTTTACAAGACTTAAGATTGTTTCCGTAGAAGGTAACGTGCGAAGTATAGCAACAACGTCCAAGTCGCCACTCCGACAGTGTTCTTATACACCTCGTGTGGTATATGCTCAACCACACGTTGAAATGTGAAAGACCGACATCTCTGTGATTCCAGGATCTAGATTACACCGCAATTAGAATACTCATATTCGATACATGTGAGCTCTGTCAAGTACGAACCATCGAACTGTCAAAGTATTCTAAATTGTTGGTGGGCCTTCGGGGACTACA